GTCGAATGTTATTCGGGAGAAATAACTCACCCTCGATAGATAAACTGATCATACTGCACAGGTTGCGCTGGCTTGGCCACGTGCTGCGTATGCCAGTCGACCGAATTCCTCGAAGGGCTCTTTTCGCACAACCACGTGAAGGGTGGAAGAGAGCCAGAGGGGATCAAGCAATGACTTGGCAGCGAAGTGTGAATACCATTACCAGCAAACTCAGCTGCGCTGGTCATTGCTGTCCTCCTGGATGGGGATCCCGACACGGCCCACATCAATAGAGACAGACACTGTTAGACATCGCCCAGTTGCGCCCTCAATGACGCTCGTGCATCAAAGCTATTGCCTTCAATGCATAGCTCCTTACCCCCCACTCATAGCTCCTTTTACACCCCCCACTGACAGTGCTGCATTGATGCACCTACTTACCAGCTCGCGCATGCAATGCACAGCTACCTACCCCCCACTAAATCATCGGTGAACGAAACTGCGGCAGCTGCAACCACTGTACGATGATTACGCGGTTTTTTCGGCTGACAATGATGATGATGATGATGATGATGATGTCTATAGCCATTGATATGGCCCCTCTTGGGGTCCCCATCCAGGAAGACGGCAATGACTATTGCGGCTGAGTTTTCTGGTAATGGCTTTTATACTTCGCTGCCAAGTCATTGTTTGCCCGCCTCTGGCTCTCTTCCACGCTTCAGGTGGTTGTGCTGAAAGAGCCCTTTGAGGGCACGTGGGCAAGCCAACGCAACGTATGCTGTGTGATCAGTTCATCTGTCGAGGATGACTTATTCCGAATATCCTTCGACTTCAGCACTGCTGATCGCATATGTTAGGCGAGCTCCGATTGGTCGAAATTCCGGACCCAACAGCTGATCGTGACCAAATGTTGGCCGGATGCCAGTGGTGCATCCATAAGGCGTCAGATTTTCCAGAAGGTTGCGCCGCTTTGCGAGTTTTCTTGATTTGGTTTTTGGCGTTGATATACATTGTGCATCTTTGGTGATCGTTTTGACGGAAGCGCTAGCTTGGGAGGTTCAGACCGAGAACTAACCTGAGGAAATTACCGGTACCACACCCACCAGACAGTAGTCAAGGAGTTTGCTCGATTTAGCCCAGAGGTCCTGGTTCGAACTGGATCGTGGTCCCTGTACTCCTAGAAGTAAGCCCAATGGTATATCTGGCTTGGTGTTCCCCTAAGGTTGCACGCCAGCAAAACGATCTCCTTTAGTCTCCAAGTTCCTTAGTTTGTAACCGCCCCTGTTATCCATGTGTGGGTCTGGACGATCTGAACATATCTGAACCCCTGTATTTCTGATGGGTTACTTCGCACTTCGTACAAAAAAGAACATCACAATTGGACCATTTTTAAGTGCAATGCTTTCATGTATAAGATATCCTTTTGCGTTTGATTTTACTTCCTTCCAGCCATAATCATCGTTGCTCCAGACAGACGAATTTCTCCCGGTTTTCATGACTACTGTTCGCCGGACGGTGACAAAGAAGAAAGTCGGAGTTCCAAATGTCCCTGACCCACTGAATTCGTTCAAAGTCCCGAAGAAAGCATTCATAGAATGTGCGTTTTGCCTTCTGGATCTTATCCGAACGTACTGCTTTATGCATATTTCATATGTTGCTCCATTCTATTGTACAGTGGATAGGAAGAAAAATAGGTTTTGTACTGGATGAGAAATCTCGGAGGGTTTGTTTATGATCTGGAAACCTTCCATTCGTACCTTTCACCTTTGACTTGTGGCTTTCCTGAGCGGTATCTTTTCTACAAAAGTAAAACAGGTGGACCGAATTGACGTTTTAACCTTGTGGTGTGTTTACCACTACTAGTCTATCAGCTGTTGCGGCGATCTCCCATCGTCCGCTAAAAGTTGTCATCCTTCTGAATGTTGGCATGAATCCTGAAATGCTCGCCAACCATATCAGAAGTCAGCTTCGATGGAACCATTTGTTAAGACGAAGAATAGAAAGGATGGTCCGTGGTTCGAACCCAACCGGGATATCTCGACTACTCCTGTCTAGGCTTAAGCAACCTGACAGTATCCCAACGCATGTGCTTCCTTTTGGTGACTTTACAGTCCCTATTGTGGCTAGCTAACCTCAGATCGAACCCGACCTCTGCCTCTCGACTTCCCCTGTCTGGGCTTGGGCAACCTGGTAGTATCCCAGCCATCGTACTTCCTTCGGCTGGCATGGCAGCTAGTCTCATATTGTGCCATCCCTAATGCCTTGTATGATGTCATTGTGCCTGCGTTCAGCTGAGAATCTTTTCGTTGCTTAACTGTCATGTCACGAGAAAGAAGCACGAGGGCTGATATACTGCCAGGTTGCCCAAGCCTAGACAGGGGACGTCGAGAGGCAGAGGTCGGGTTCGAACCACGGACCCTCCGGCCAGTAAATTCGAACTCTAACCATTGAGCCATCTCGCCCCGATTGTGGCTAGCTAACCTCAGCTCGATACCATGCAGAGGTAATCGTACTCTTGAAGTTCAACGTGTTAAAACTGTATATCCTAGTTACATATGCGTGTAGTGGAACGAGACATAAAAGTGCCGAGTAACAATTCATAGCTGTCGTCTCATTGCTGCCTCCGATATGCACCTACGAAGTCATCTAGCTAATGAGCTCTATGAAGGTCTGATAAAACAAGAGATCTTTGGACCTGATCTTCGCGTTCTTTGCTTCAGTGATATGCCTAATACACTATTCGTTCTGTCCGCCTCAAAGCGGACACGACTACCTCGTTATTACGGTTTCGGTTCTCGTGAATAAGGAATATGGGTCTTTCTTGTTGGAAGAACACTACTTATAAACTTGATAAGAACACCTCTCACCGGTTTATCAATCCTCGAGTTTCCATTGACGTTATATTCTACGTATAACGTTAATGGAAACTCGAGGAGTGCGAAGCCGGTGGTAGGTTGTCGAAGTGTTCGGCGAGATGGCCCAAGTGGTTAGATCGCGAATTTACTGACCGGAAGGTCCGTGGTTCGAATCCGACCTCTGCCACTCGACTTCCCCTGTCTAGGCCTGAGCGACCTGGCAGTATCCCAGCCCTCGTACTTCCTCCGGGTGGCAGCTAGGCACCGGAAGGGTGTTACAGCTGAACAGTTATTATTATTTATTATTATATTCTGTGTGGACAAAAGTCCACGCAGTTGATGAGCTATACTCATTTACAAATTCTGTTGTTGGTAGCCTGAGACTCACGTGAATCCCTGTAAAAAAAAACAATATCTTGAGCGAGAGATTTGATTGGGCATCGTTGACGCCTTTACGAATAAGTGTATTTCTTCAATCCGACCCCTTTTTGCAGTAAACATTCAAAACATTCAATACTCATTTACTCGATGAATCTGATTATCATAAAAGCCTTTTTGTTTTCCACTTTGTAGCTCTTTTGGAATCGGTTGCCTTGGACTCTGCAGATTACGTGGACGAAATCCTTCCCCAGATTACTCAGAGCTTCCGCTTCCCACAGTTAGCCAGATATCTGCGTATCGATGAAGCTTGGTTGGTGCATAATCGAATGCTGGAACAGTCTTTCACTGCCGCACGCAAACGATTGCAGAAGTCCTCACTTCTCATGTCCTCAGTGGAGGCCAACTTGTGCACCGGATTTTGCGTCCTCACCGACTGGACGAAGGTCGAAGAAGTTGCGAGTGGTGGACTGTCTCCGGGAAACGTTCCTGACACGTGGTTGGGACAGCCTGAACAAGGTGGGACTCGTGGCTTTTTTTGGGCTGTTGGTGACGTATCATTTTGTTCTTCTTCACAGTTGAAATAATGTGGACTCATATTTATCGATTGTTAATTGTTCCACCTGGGTATCATTGCCATATCACATGCGATTTGTAACAGATGGTTTCGGTTTTTCCGTTCGGCCAACACAAAGACGCTTGAGTTTCTTGTGATAAAACAACTGGAGTTGCTACTTTGTAGGCCTAACATTTTGCTCAAGAGTTATTGCATCTACACGTTGTCATTACACGTACTTGACTATTGACCTTTGGGTCTCAGTATACTGACCGATTGCACTCTTCACTGGTGTACGTAGAACGAGTCAACTGAAACATGAGGCGGCCTGGTGCAGCACATTTTCTTAAAAATATCTTAAGCGAGAGATTCAGCTGGGTTCCAGGTGTGTCTTGGTTTGCAAATGGCTTTTTTTCTAATTTCGCGCAATTTGGGTTCAAGTAGAACATATGGTTGACGGAAACTCGGGGACTGCGCCTATCTGATGATCCCCAACAAGGGCGAAACTGGTCGTGGTCTGTCGAAGAATTCTCAGCGACCTTATGAGTAGTATATTACGTCAAAACAATCATCCATTAGAATTCGTAACGGGTTCTGAACACTATTCTCATCTGCGACAAAGTTTTGGTCGAAGTGGAGCAGCCAGTGGGTTTCGCGTTTTCTGAGGACTGTTCATCATCATCATTGTCATCGATAGCATAACATCAGTGTTCAACACTGATACTTCGCTTCCGCGAAACCGTACTGTAGCCCGATACACAATTCCTTTGAGATTCGAAGATATTCCGCTTTGCCACCATCAATCTCTCAAATTAGCAAAGGCCATCCGGGGCTTAGAGATTCCTGCGTTCAAATCATATGTTACACTACACCTGGGACTCGTGCAACTTCAAAGATATGCAAAACGCCCCACAACTTTAAATGACTTGTAAGTGATCTTCTCAATGACTGCATACCCAGGAATGATGATAAGGTTTTAGTTTAATTCATTCGAGAGCATAATTTCGAAGACCAAAACGATGTCTGTATAATCCAGACCGACAGGGTTTCCGTCAGCAGCTATTTGAACACCAAGATTTTGAAGACTTAACATTCATCTTGTATTATCGACCACGCAATCGAACAGTTCCAGAGCATGAGTGTCCTTGTCGGACACCGCTCTTTGTACAAATCAGTCAGCTGTTGCACTCCTTCGATGCCCAGCTGTCATGTGACTGAGATACTCTCAGGTTGCCCAAGGCTACACTGGGGCAGTCGAGGTGCCAGGGTTGAGTTCGAACCACGGACTTCCGGTCAATAATTCCACGCCTTATCCATTAAGCTCTCCGGAACTTGAAAGCTTTTGAACCGTTCCTCGTATGTACTCACAAGTCGGATGCTGCCTGGAGCTTATTGTGTTCCAGGGACTTCCTTGACGGACAAGCGTATCAAGACGTACCGATTGGTTGGCAGAGCCCAATGGACCTTGGAAATCAAGGAATACCGGAATTATGACTCGTTTACACCTTCTAGCATCTGACAGAATTTGAAGATCTGATCGATGTGGCTCCCAACCGTACCGAAATCTTGCTTACTGCTATCGAGTTAGTGCTTCACGGGCCGTCGTTAGAAGATGATAGACAATATTCTGTTTACGGCCGGATTACCGCATTGATTGCGGTAACATCCACCTTTTTCCAAATGCAGACAAACAAGTGCTGACTGAGGACTTCATCATGATCCTTCATCAATGCGTACGGAAGGTCACTTGATCATTTGTAGTCATAAACCTCCGAAACTTTAGAGTGTTCTAGGTTTCTGGTGAAGTGCGAGAATCTGACCGATTGACTGTATGTGACAGGTGCTTTGCCCAGCGACCAAGACGTCATTCATTATTGGAGAAGTTAGCGTCAATTGGAACTTTGGTACTTACGGTTACAGATGGTTTTCGGCAATTTGTTGAAGGGGTGAACTGAGATCATCTTTGGATCATCTTTGTCCACAGAGTTTCAATCGATTTCTGATGATTCGTCGAGCCAAATTATTTTCGGGAATGGTGAGGTAGTTCTCCGAGACTCAAACAGCTGCACCGTTCGGTTTCATACCTAGTGCTTGAGGGAGTTCGAAGTACCGTGCCTGAGTGAAACTACCCACACTGTACAAGGATGTGGCGATCTGGATTCATTACCAACTGACATCCGACGTTGAAGCCGTTAGAGAGTTCAGTGGAAGCCTCATGATCTGCGGGCCTCTCGCTTGCTAACCTTGCGCGGCTCTGAAAAGCGAAGAGACAAGCGACTCGCTTGTTCGAAAAAGAGCGAGAGTCGTTTATTGATCCGGGTGATGGGTAACTAATGGGAATGTGACCAATCCGAGTCCGTAGGTTTTATGTAAATGATCACCTTACAAGTATTACACCACGCTCACCAAGTTGTACTGGTATGTAGCGGATGAGCATTAATATTGAATATCCAGGGTTAAAGCGAGATTGTCGGCTGCACATTCAAAAGAGCTTCTTGAAACTCTTTGAAACCGAAGAGCGCTCTTGCGCTATGTGAGACGTCTTCAAGTGTTTGACCACCGTTGCATAGTAGAAATAAGCTGACTGAAGTGACTGGGCGACGAAGTGGTGCGTAAGCGGGTAGTTGGTAGTGAATCCGACTCGTTACAGCACCAGATTGGAGTGATCAGATTGAGGTGGTTGACGCATGTGCTTCGTGCACCCAACCATCGTCTACTGAGGAAAGTGTTGTTTTCCGTTCCGAGCGATTTTTGGTGAACGATTCACGTGGGATCGGACATGACATGGTAGCGCGAAATGGAACCGGTTACTACTAAATTGAGTGCTGTATGCGATCTTCGTGCCCTCCTTGCTGGGGTCCAGGTGATCCGGCTTGCAACTGGTTAGAAAGCCCTCAGGACACCACTCAGTGGATTTAATTGGCGTGCATGCCGTCGTTTCCCAGCCTAGCTAAGGACCGACTGCGGTTGTGCGCTGGGCTCAGGTGAAGTGAGGCCCGCAAAGGACGCTTGGTTACTCCTGCTGATCGCACTTTACTCCAACATAATGCTCATTTGTGTTAGTTTTGATGGTGTCCGAAGGTGGAAGCGCCTTCCCATTGATCTTTAGAGCGCGAATTTACTGACCGGAAGGGCTGTGGTTCGAACCCAACCTCTACCTCTCGACTTACCCTGTCTAGGCTTGGGCAACCTGGCAGTATCTCAGCCCTCGTGCTTCTTTCTGGTGGCATGGCAGCTGGGCACCGTAAGGATGTTACAGCTGGATGCTGTCTTTTATTTTCTCACTATTGGTTGGTTTCCTTCATGGCTTCTTCACACTAGTTCCCTACCCTTCCCCTTATTTTCCACGGTTTGGTAAGGCTTTCCTCTCTCATGGTTTTGTGGCAATCAAGCTACTGGGTGTAGTACTGATGTATTCCTGTCACTGATGATGACGATATTGATACTAACCTAGTTCGATATAAACTTTACCATTTTAAAAGCTTGTGGTATAGTTCTTGCTGCTACGCATCTCTCGTCGAGAAAACACTTTGATATGTCAGGGGAATGTTTCTTCGACAGGGCTGCAATAAGGTCAAAACCCGTTTTTTAAGTTCATCTTACGGGTAACAATCCTGCCGGGGATGACTGAGTCCTCTTCAGTGCCACGACTGCAAATCAAGTTGTTATCCGTAGTCTGAAACCCGCGACCTTCCGACCTTGAGCCCACAAGCAGCTGATCAGCACGTGCTTAGCTGGCATCCGTCCTTCAGTCACAAGATCCATATCGTGGTAGTGCACATTGTAGCCACACATGTTTACTGGCTCCTCCAAGTGGGAGTTTCAGTCAGCGGGTGAATCTTACTCCTCCCCTGAGCCACTTTTATGACTGTTGGTCGGATGGGACCTGTTTGAACAATCTGTGTACAAAATTCCAATCTTTTATGAAAATGCCTGCATTTCCTTTGTGCCCACCTATGTTTCAGTGTCTTCCAATTCCTTTCTAGGCGTGACTGTAAACCAGTGCGCTGATATAGTTGTCGCGCGTGCTCAGAAGCGTTTGCAGAGGAAACAAGCACGAGAGCAGCAGCCCACGAAGCTCTATTTGGTCGTTGTTCGTTGGGTCAAATCGAAAGCCTACATTGTAGCATCGGGTGCTGAAGAATCCGGAGACCGTTTGGAACCCCAGCCAGGCTATGCTTGTCACGTGTCCACGTGGTCCCGGATCGATCCACTGGATCCGGCTAAAGTTAGCCTTGAAAGTGCGTATCAAATGTCTCAGGTATGTTTGGTTCTCGAGCTAGTCACAGGACGTTCTAGTTGACAAATGATGGGGTTCTCACCTCAAATCAATTTTCATCAGTTCAACGTGCGTTAGTTTTGTCAGATGACAGTGTTGATTTTTTGAGTTCTGATTGTATAAGGTACTTTCTGTTGCGTGTCAACCGAGACATTTTTCTCTAAGCACTACAATCCGAAGACGTCTGACGGTGGAAAGCCTCAGTGGACTGTTAATTTCGTGTTATATCTGACGTTCTCCGCTAGTAAGATATGATCGGTTCCATACTTCCCTTAAAATCTGTTGTATGGCTGAATCTCTTCCTTTATGCTTGTGGGCAGCAGAGAGTGGGAAAGATTTTACGAGGGGTGTAGGTAGTTTTGAGCGAGAATCGCCCAAGTGGTTAGAGCGCGAATTTACTGACCAGAAGGTCCATGGTTCGAACCCGACCTGTGCCACTCGACTTTTTCTGTCTAGGCTTGGGCAACCTGGCGGTATCCCAGCCCTCGTGCAACCTACGGGTTGCATGGCAGTTAGGCACCGAAAGGGTGCTACAGCTGAACGACTTATTTTTTTAGGTGGTTTTGATGCGGTCCTCCTTCCAAGTGGGATCTCCGCGACTCCCTGATTTGGGCAAGATACGTAACAGCTAATCGATGTCACTAAAGTTCGTGTCCCGAGTTTTTCCAGATTGCCTGATTGAGCGCTTGGAGGCACTTCAGAATGATTGACACAGGTTAGCACCGGATCCCCTCCCTCCCTCACCCCCTTTGTTGCTTTCACTTTAAGTCTAATTATGATAAATATACTTTTTTTGGTTGGATGGTAGTGAAGCATCGTTGTCAACCCGGATGTCTCTGTGCGTTCTGCGTAACCTCGTGGTTAATTACGGAGCGATGCAAATCAGGGTCTCCATACCCCTTTGGGTACACGATACGCCTTCAGTTATGGACGCCCAACTGGCTCGTCTAGTCCAGCATTCGGTACCTAAATTTTGATACCACTTCCGTTGATGAGGTGGCCAGATTCGTGCGTTTATTTGACAATGCATTTCTCAAGAATATCGTCTCTTTGGCTTATCGATTCGTGTTTCTGTTGAGAATCGTCTGAGTGCTGCATTTTGGTTTCCACATGAAGCCGGGTGTGCACAATCCGGAAAACGTGATCGGTGATGCGCTTTTTTGTGTCAAAAGGAGCGGAGATTGACATGGTTGAAACTTTTTGGTGCTCGTGTGAATTGTTTTATTTCTCCTAGTTCTTTCACATGCAAACCGCAAATCGGGCTGATGGTTTTGTCTCCGCCTTTTGTACCTGAAGGTGGAAGGTTGCAGTCGACAGGGGAAGTCTTGAAGTATAGTCAGTTACAGTCGACTGAGACGCCATCATTTTCGGAATTGTTCTGGAAATAATAACTCAAAGGATTAGCGACTGTGTGCATAAAATTAAATGCACCGACTGCAGTAAGGCTTACACAGGCAAACAGTCAGAGAAGAGCACACCAGAATGTATGGTGAGCTCTCCAAAAGCTTCCCTACAAAAAGTGGTGTCAGACAAGGGTGTCCACTCTCTCTCCAGTCTTGTTCAACTTCTTCATTGATGAAATAATGAGGCGAACACTGGACGGTCTTCAAAGCACCGGTGTTCAAACTGTTGCTGGTGAGAGCCTTGTCGATCTGGAGTACGCAGATGACATCGCCCTCATCTTTGAAGACCAAAGAGAAACACAAACCCTGTTGAATCGACTGCTCACCATCATACCATCTTTGGCATGCGCCTTGCAGCTTCACAGTGCAAAGTGATGCTTCGGAGCGTGCCATGTGCAATCCAAGGAGAATCACTGGAGATTGCGGAAAGCTTTACGTACCTCGGTAGTTGTATTAGCTCTGACGGAAGTGTGTCTGATGAAGTCAGTGCAAGAATCTCAAAGGCTCGAATCACGTTTGCTAATTTGCG